AAAAGCAGAGACACTGATAAAGGGTCGTGTGTCAGTTGATCTCCTCCAAGTGGGCCACACAAATGTGCAGCCTCAACAACAGTCCCCTCAACTGACTGGTGTGCATCAGGAATGGTGAGTAAGGAAGCGATTAAATAAGCTAGATTTGGGAATGTTGGACGTGAGAGGGTTGCAAGTCTTCTTTGCCTCATTAATGAATGTTACACCCAGTAGACGAAGACTAATGCAGATGAGGTCAAGAAGATCGTTCAAATTGAGGGCTGTTTGCGAATCTCTTCCTGACTGTAGCACGTAGACAGGCGAAGAACAATTGGGTCATTCTACATTAAAGGCATTTTGAATCAACTTTGACTAAAGCGGAATTACAGGCTACTCACAAAACGATCACCACTATTTTTTTTCTACTGGTTGACTTAGATCTGCCTAGTTATCTTGGGTGACATACAGTTGGACAAGTTAAGGAGTTGGAGGTATTGACAAGAGATGAGGTGGAATTAACAGAGCAATCAGAATTCAGAGCACAAGCACGCCTGATTTTGCAAGAAAATGCCTACTGAGCATTATTTGGTAGTGTCGGTATTCTGCTGTGAAATTACAACATCTACTAGGCTCGCTGTTCTATCTGATCAGTTTGCTCAAGACAGCGCACTACGTTAAGAATTTAGCCTTACTTGAATATTTAAGTCATTTTGCAAACTACTGAGATCCAGAGCCAATGGGATCCACAACAATATCACGCACGGTAGCACATCGAGTAGCAGATCTGCATCATATAGAGGCATAGAAAGAGTACCTCGACCAATGCAGTCCTAGTGAGGTAAAGTTCCAAACATGGAGGTATCTACAACCGTGTCTACCAAATCAGCTAGGATGTAAGCGACCCTATTTATTTTGTGGCTAACTGCATTCTCGAATGTATTGTATTGTAAAAATTTTGATAGGGGATGATTCAGTAAGGTGTCGGAACAGACTGCATATACCATGCGGCATTTTGTGACCTCTGACAATTCAAAGTGAAGTAAAGTCACCCCTTGAAGTCAAAATGCTGAGCCTGAAATATTTCGAAATTTGACCTATATTGTTAATTGTTTTTTGCCGGTGGACCATAGGAACATGGTTTTCCGTGGAACTGCTTTCAATATGCTTTAAAGAAAAACCATTAGACAGGGTGAGATTCTAATTAAATATGCTATTTAATGGTAGATTCACTGTATAAGACGATGCGATTTGAGCTTGGACACGGGTAATGTTCCTATGAAAGTATTGGTGGGTGGGTGGGAGTGTACACTGGAAGGGTAAAATGATTAACGCCTCAAAGTTGACTCCGAATTAAACATGTCCACTAATCTAAAGAAGACGATGACGTGGGATCGGTGGCGTAAGCATGCAATCCAGTAGGTACAGAGTAGGAGGTGGATGTGGTCATAGGCATTTGGTCGAAATACGCTATCATCATGCCAGGTGAGTAGACTCAAATACCTGAAAAGCGTGCTCTCTGAAATAGACCCTGACAAAATTACTATGACTGATGGCAAGGCCTCATTATTGTGTAGAAGCAAGAGATACACTGGTTCGTTCTCCGTATTCACCCCCTGGACATTGACTAGACAATTGACAGCACATAATTACATTAAAAATGGAACAGATACCCGAGAAATCAGGTTACAGGAGGCACAAATATGTCTTCACGTCTTCATGCAGAAGTCTACCACACCTGACAACACGTCTCTTTGCGGGTCCAAGATTTAGCCCAGTAATGTAAAATATATACGCCACTGAAATTGCTCGATTTCGCATAGTGAAAAAAACAGCTATCTGCCAATACTCACTAATATATCAAGTTCATTTCACGTGACATAAATGCGAGAGTGTGTTGATCATGCTGGGGCTCAAATATTTAGCAATCCTGGCAGCAACCACACACACCCCGTAAAAGTACTATATAGGCACAATCTGCACTAGAGACCTCATTTTCTGAAGTTCATCTCGTTATTACCCTGTTTGGAGACTCGGCAGAACACATGCCCACCCATTTTAACTATTGCGCAAAACATATTGTTATATACAGG